GTGGCAGCGACTGGGGTCCCCCCCACCCGCTACTTATATCCTCAGCAACCGGAAAGCAACGGTCCAGATCGAAGCCAATCCAACGGCCCACAGTCACGCTGACCGCACGTCTTCCGAAGCCGAGACGTGACCAGCGCACGTCTTTTTGAAAACGGATGGCGCCAGCACACGTCTTTCGAAAGTGGAGGCGTCGCGCGCGTCTTATCGAAATTGACGGGGCGTCAACGCGCGTCTTTTCGAAGCTGACAGGGTGTCAGCGCACGTCCCCCCGCAATGAAAGCACCTGCAGCACGATTTCCGAAATTTGGGAAAACTGCCACCGTCACGTCTCCCGAACGCGCGCCTTTTTTGAAAAGTCAAAATTAAAGTGCGCGCCATCGGTTGAGTAAAATTTCAAAAGAACGGGCCAAAATCCTCCTAACTACCTTACGAACTCCCCGCGCCAAGGCAGGACCCCCTTTGCGTAGGGAGTGGGGGGCAATTGATGAAGGGAAATTTGGCCCGACCTCGCAGCTCGCGACACGTGGTAAAAGCAAGCAGTTCGGGATAGCAAAACTGTTAGACAGTTTTGTATGCCCTTAGCTTCAATCAGAATGATGTACTTTATGAGTTTATTGTAAATGAATAAAGATACATATTTGATTCANTCAAAAGTTATTCAGAATAGGCTTCATACATCTTTTTGGCATAATGTATTTTGATGGTTAAATCTTCTCTCAACCAAATAGGAAAAGACAAAATTGCAGAATTTCAAACTTCTTAAAAACCRACAATTCACATGAAAAGATATGCCAAACGGGGCGATAATATTGACAGCATTTGTGGTGAATGGAGTCTTCTTCATGTATATAGTGGTTTATGATGACCGTTGATATCATAATAGTGGCAGTCAATTTAGATAATCAAATTTAAATAATCCACCAACGCTTATCGGTTTCTCTTTTGCCCATACTTAGTATGGGCCTAGGATACACTTGTGAAACATGAATGAATGAAAAATAAGATGTATTTATATAATCGGTTGAGATGTGAATTTAACTGAGTAAATGCACCAATGCACCGTTGTTGAACTCTATATATATAATATTCCTTTTGAAATTTAACACATGTACCAATACTTCACTATATAAATAAAGCATAAAGGGTGTAAAATAACAAGGTTTTTATTGCACAATAATCAGCAGAAATTTCTCATATATATAACTGATAAAATACATGTAGATATTGTATGTAAACCAGATTTCTCCATCTACTAGAAGTTCTGTTTATGGGTTAGGAGGGTGATAGTCTCCCCCAGGGTCAGGAAGGTAGGTATGTCCACCATTGCCGTTGCCGTTTTGGAGCATCCTCCTTCCTGCAAACAAGAAATAATTTAAGAGTTTAGAAATAACCACTGTTTTATTTGTTCGGTGCCCACTCAACGAGAGACCTAATCAGCCCCCCATAAGATTGTTCCTTACAACGTTCCATAGCACATCCCTGCCGTGTATTAGAAATATCTTTCAATGATAATCTCAGAAATGATGATATCATCATTTGGTGATGTTTTCAGTACACAGCAGGGATGTGCTGTGGGACGTTGTCGGGGGCAATCCTTTTAGGGGCTGGTTTGAACTCACCCAATAAAACACAATGTTTTTCAACGTTCCATCATTGACCCGCCATGTGGCCTGACTGATTCATGGTCACTCGTCACAATTTCGGTTTGGTTCAACCTCTGATCCCCACCATGTTACGTACAATTAATTAAAAGAAAACTGTTGATCAGGACCAACGTTTTTGAATCGTGGTTGATCCGGATTGTCGGACCGTTTAGTCTGGGAACTATTTAGGCAATCGATTCTGTTTTATCTCAAAACTAGAATTTGGTCAAAAACCATTGAAAAAGTCAACAAACCATTGATCTGTATGAATGACCCGTTGACCCATTCAATAATTTTATCCGTTTTTTATTTTTTTATTTTTTTTATTTTATTGTCAGAACGAATCATCCGTTTAAACCATTGACCCATAAACCAGTGGCCAAAACGAGTCCGTTTCCAAATCATTTTTTAAAACGTTGATCAGGACAACAGCACATCAATCCAATGCAGATGGTGAACTGTTTACCCATTTATTTATTAAACCCAAAACAAAAAGACAGTTGAGCCTTGGAATTAATTGGCTTAATTGATTATGCATGAACAAGCTAATAATACCAAACCAAAAGGAGAATCACCCGGTGTTCTGAATTTAAATAAACACCAGGATTTGCTGCAACAATAGTGAAAAGAAAGAAGAGAGGAGGAATACGCACCGAGGACATGGAGACTACTAGCGATAGCAACGTTGGAAGAGAAGAGAAGCATGATGGCTACAAAAGTGAGAACCAGTAAGACCTGAGAGGCTCTAGAGAAAGCCATTTTGGGCACTCACTCACTGCGTGCTTTGAGCTGATAACTCACCCAAATTTATAGTGGTTAGGGGGGAGATAACATCATCAATATGGGTAACTTCCAGGAAGGAGGAAGACATGCCAGGCCGCCCTAGCTTCCACTTCAGCCCCTGCCCCACCTAACACCCTTTACAGAGTTGAATTAGTCTTAGGAGTACTGCATTCTGGAAACTCGGGTCCCCACTGGGCATGCCCCACCGCACATCCAACCGTATATTCGAAACATCGATCTTTCAATAATAAGTACAAGAGATGTTGCCATTTTCTTCGTGATTTGAAGTATTGAACTTGATCAAGCAGAGGTATACATACAGTAGTTTCCTCGAGGCTTGAATTGAAGTTTCAAAAATCCTTTAGAAAAACATCGATCAATGGAAATACATGGATGTGACTCGGCATAAGTGATAATTCAACATGATCAGATCGACACGTAGACATGACTCAATACAGGTGACAACTCAGCATAAATCAGTTCGCTACAAAGCGACCTCGGGTACCCTGGTACCCCGAATTAAAATTACTTCAAGCTAAGATCAACCCAGTACCAGCTCTTGACCAGGACAGCGGTACCAAGTTCACTTCGGTACTAAGGCACTTCGGCATTCGGAGCAGATCAGGTCCGTGGAACGCGAGCTCAGGCAGCTCGCCACCAAGCAGCCCAGCACTTCACAGGCAGCCCGCTACCTAGTCTGGTCGACCTCCACATGACAACCCTGAGGATCTCATCACCATACCCCGCATCCTGCGGGATCATACTTTGTAACGGCTACATTAGCTCACCCACTCCCCGATTCAGGCGGAGGTGAGCAACCTTATCAGTTGGTGGCACTACTCCCACCTAACACGAAAACGGATCCCGTCACAGCAAGGATCCAGGAACCACTGCACCAAAACACAAGGACTCCGGTATATAAAGATCTCACCCCCCAGGGGCGAGGGTAATGCGTAATCTTGCTCTCTAGCTCTCTAATTCTCTGATATCATTTTCAAGCTCCCTACTAAAGTTCTAACTTAGCCATCAGAGTGTCCCCGTCGGGTAAGCCACCCCGGGATCTCTGACTCATTTCTTGTAGGAACCTCAGTCCACATCAATTGGCATAGCCAAATCGTCTCTAGCAGGGAGCAGCCTAATTACGCCACATCAATTGGCACCATCTGTGGGAACTCGCTACTAAAATCCCTTTGTTTCCATTTTCAAAATCTCAAGCTCAGAATCCAATCCATGACTTCCTTCAACAACACAAGACAAAACAACGAAGCGAATGTCTCCGTGGGGCAACCTCAGTTCCCGTCTGTCTGCATAGGTCAGTTCACCATACCGCTCACTGCATGTGCATTGCTTTCTCCACGACCTTCAAAGGGGTAGCTCGGACATGGTACAAAAACCTCGCACCTAGAACAATTAAAAGTTGGGCGCAGCTCGTGCAGTTGTTCACCTCGCACTTCATCACCAGCAGGAGGTGTCTGAAGTCACAAGAAAGCCTCCTCAGCATAGTCTAGAGAGAAGGAGAGTCGATTCGAAGCTACATCAAACGCTTCAACAACACCTGTTTGTTGATCTCGGATTGAGATCCCGCTGTAAGACTCGCAGTAGCAAAGAAGGGTATCACCCACAGGGAATTCTGGGGGCATGTGGTGGAAAACAAGCCTAAAGACATCACCGAATTCCTCAAACTCGCCGTTCAGTTCATCGGGACCGAAGAGGAGATGAATCAAAAGACTGAAGCCCCGGCGGATAAAAGAAAGAGAGAAGATAACAACTCGAATAATGGTGGTGACAAAAGAAGAAAAAGCAAGTCTCCAACTAGGGAAGAGAATAGGTCTGATCTACGTTCCCGAACTCCCCCAGTTGAAGGAACGAACCTCACACCGCTCAATGCGAAGCGAGGAGAAATCCTCATGGAAATCAAAGACGCCCCTTATGTGAAGTGTCCACCTCGGTTGAGGGGAGATCCCGCCACTAGAAACAAAAATATATACTATCACTTCCATAGAGACCACGGTCATAGTACCGAAAATTGTAAAAACCTCTGCAACGAGATTGAAGAACTCATCCATCGTGGATACTTGGAAAATTTTGTACAAAAAAGTAATAAGAACCAGGCAGATCAGCAGGGGGAGCAGAGGAGAGATGCTCTCGGGTCCAGCAGGAGACAGAATGAATAGAGACAATCACCCGAGGAAAGGTTGGTTTGCGGAGTAATCAACCCAATTACTGGCGGGTCCATTATCGTGGGCTACACCTCGGCAGTGGAGAAGACCTTAGTCCGGGAACTGGAACAGGAAGAGAAAAATCCTCTGAAGCAACCAAGGCCTAAAGATCCTATATTCTTCACAGAAGACAACGCGTGCAGGATTTAGTACCCTCATGATGACGCACTAGTCATAAAAATGAGGATCAACGATTTTGAAGTTAAGTGCGTCCTAGTGGATTCGAGGAGCTCGGTTAACATTATATTCAAGGACGCCCTTGACAAACTCAAGTTTTAGGAAAGTGACATCAAGCCCTCAAGTACCCCTCTAGTAGGCTTCAGTGGAGAAGAAGTTAGGCCCTAGGGCAGATTTCAGTACCTGTCAAGGTCGACACCTAGCCCAACATCACAAGGTTTGAGTACACCTTCTTGGTGGTCGCAACTCCTTCCCCATACAATGCCATTATCGATCGGCCCATCACCCATGCGCGTTGCGCAGTGGTGTCCACCTACTACTTGGCTATGAAGTTCCCCACGAACTTCGGAGTTGGAGTAGTACCAGGAGACCAGCTTGAGTCCCGCAAGTGCTATGTTGCCACCCTCAAAGGGAAAGCCAAGCTGGCAGATGACGTCAAGCTAGAGTGACTCGTGGAGTATTTCGAGGAGTGAGCTACGCCAACCAAAGAGACAGTCCGCATCACGACCTCAAAAGAAGATCCAGCCAGAACACTCCAGATCGGGGCAACAATCGAGGAGCCTCTTTGCTCTCAACTGGTAAGTTTTTGACTTAAAAGTTTAGATATATTCGCATGGTCTGCGGTAGAAATGTCCGGTATAGATATAGAAAAAATAACTCATAAGTTGAATACTGATCCTGTAGTCAGGCCAGTTAGATAGAAGAAATGCAACATCGCCCTGGAGTGCTGGAGGATAGTCGATGAGGAGGTCGGGAAACTCCTCGTAGCCGATTTCATCAGGGAGGTTCATTACCTGAGTTGGGTGGCTAACCTCGTTCTGGTAAAAAAGGCCAACGGTAAATGACGCATGTGCGTTGATTATACCGACCTAAATCGAGCTTGCCCAATGGATTGTTTCCCATTCCCCAAGATTGACCATCTGCTGGACGCGACCTCAGGGCATGAGTTGTCGAGTTTTCTGGACGCATACTCGGGTTATAATCAGATCAAGATGGATCCCGCTGATGAGGAAAAAACAGTATTCATAACCGAACTAGGACTGTATTGTGACAAGGTCATGCCCTTCGGGCTAAAAAATGTTGGGGCGACCTTCCAAAGACTTGTCAACAGACTGTTTGAGCCGTTGATCGAAAATAAGGTTGACTGCTATGTAGACGACATGGTCGTCATAACCCGATTTTTGAACTGTCTAATAAGTGACCCGCAATGTGTTTTTGAAATTCTACGCAAGTATAACATGAAATTGAACCCTAACAAATGTATCTTCGGTGTCACCTTGGGTAAATTCATGGGTTACATAGTTAATCGATGTGGCATCGAAGCGAACCTCGAAAAGATAAAGGCTATCCTGGATATGAAGTAACCTCGCAAGTTGAAAGAGGTTCAGTGGCTGAACGACCATATGGCTGCTCTAAGCCGCTTCATGTCCAAATCAGCGGATCGTTGCCTACCTTTTTTCAAGGCAATTAAGAAAAGTAAAGACTTTAAGTGGACTGAAGAAGGCTAGCTCGCCTTCGACGAGCTGAAGAAATACCTAATTAGTATCCCAATTTTGACCCAACCCGAGGAGGGTGATGTTTTAAAGTTGTACCTCTCCGCGAGTGATGAGGTGGAAATCTTGGTACTAATAAATGAAGTAGATCGGGTCCAACGACCTATCTACTATGTGAGTAAAGTTTTGCAGGGCGCCGAAACCAGGTACCCAGAGATTGAGAAGTTGGCGTACACGCTGTTCACAACAGCTCAGAAGCTTCAACCGTACTTTCATGCCCACACAGTCATCACTCTTACCAACCAACCTCTGAGGCAAGTCTTACTCAAGCCCAAGGTATCTGGAAGATTGACGAAGTGGGCTATAGAGCTCAGCGAACACGACATTCGGTATAAGCCCCGAACAGCAATTAAGGCCCAAGCCTTGGTTGACTTCGTAGCAGAATGCACTTTCGGCACCGCAGTCCCCGGATTGATAGAGACCAAGCACAGGGAGGAAGCTTCAACCAGTGCGGCACCAGTCCCGGATTAGAACGAAGTCAACATGGGACGAGGAGCCCTGGATCCTTCATGTAGACGGTTCATCAAATTAGCAAGGCAGCGGAGCTGGAGTTATTCTGTACGAGCCAAGCGGGGCATAGCTGGAATACGCACTTCGGTTCGAGTTCGCAGCATCTAACAATGAAGCAAAATACGAAGCATTGATAGCCAGACTCATGCTAGCGAACGAAGAACAAGCAAAGCACCTCGTCATCTGTAGCAGCTCCCAGCTTGTGGTCAACCAGGTAACCGGTGATTACGAAGCTCGCGACTCCACCATGGTTGTTATCTAGCCAAGGTCAGGGATGTTCTACGTGACTTCCAGTCATACATCATCAAGCAGATTCCAAGGTCCGAGAACACTAAGGCCGATGCATTATCTTGGTTAGCCAGCACAAGTGCCAATACCATGAGAACCATGTAGAAAGAGAACCTACCTCGGCCCAGCATTCTCGAGGGGAGCATAAGAGTTTGCTCCTGTTGTACAAACAGAGCAGAGCTGGATTGACCCACTCGCGAGCTACCAACTTCACGAAACCCTCCCTATGGCCCGCAACGCAGCTAGAAGGGTAGAG